ATCAGCATCAGCATCAGCAGCATCACCACCACCACTATCATCATCATCAGCAGCATCATCATCAGCAGCATCAGCCTCCTCCTCATCATCAGCAGTATCAGCATCAGCATCTTCAGCATCATCGTCGTCATCATGATCATCCGCCGCCTCCGCCTCCGCCTCCCTCGCGCTCCTCCTCTTCGCTCCGCCTCCTTCTCCTCCTCATTGCCCCTCCTTCTTGACGCCCCGAGCGCTCGCTCCCGCGGCTGGCCCGAGACGAGGAGCGGACGAAGAAAATGTAGGGTGAGGAAGCAGAGACAAGGGGCAACGATAAGGGGGCAGGCATAGGGGGGGGCATTATCATCATCATCATCATCATCATCATCATCATCATCATCATCATCATCATCATCATCATCATCATCATCATCATCATCAGCAGCAGCATCAGCATCAGCATCAGCACCAGCATCAGCATCATCATCATGATCATGATCATCAGTATCAGCATCAGCATCAGCAGCATCATCATCCTCATCACCAGCATCAGCATCATTAGCATCATCATCATCATCAGCATCATCATCATCATCATCATCATCATCATCATCATCGTCATCATCAGCAGCAGCATCATCAGCATCATCAGCAGCATCATCAGCATCATCAGCAGCATCATCATCAGCATCATCATCAGCAGCATCATCATCAGCATCGTCAGCATCAGCATCAGCATCATCAACATCAGCATCATCAGCATCATCAGCATCAGCCTCATCATCAGCAACATCATCATCAGCAGCAGCATCATCATCATCAGCATCACCATCAGCATCATCAGCATCGTCATCAGCATCATCATCATCACCACCACCACCAACATTATCATCATCAGAGTCATCATCAGCAGCATCATCATTATTCCCATCATCATCCGCAACCTCCTTCTCCTCATCCTCCTTCTCGCTCCTCCTCCTCCTCCTTGCTCCTCCTCGCTCCTCCTCTTCGCTCCTCCTCCTCCTCATTGCCCCTCCTCCTTGACGCCCCGAGCGCTCGCTCCCGCGGCTGGCCCGAGACGAGGGGCGGTCATAGAAAATGTGGGGTGAGGAAGCAGGGACGAGGGGCAACGAGAAGGGGGGACAGGCATAAGTCATCGTCATCGTCATCGTCATCGTCGGGGCAACGAGAAGGGGGGACAGGCA